TATACAAACATATATGTGTAAGTATGTAGACATATATATGTGTGTATGTAGGCATATATGTGTATACATATAACTTTGTATTTAGGTATATATATATGAGTATGTATGTACGTATACATATATGTTTGTATTTAGACATACACCATACCTTGCAAATCCCTAATTTCTGCAACACAATTCGGACACATTCATACAGGCACATGTACGTGTATGTATGTAGGCATATATATGTGTATGTGTGTATACATGTGTTTGTATTACGGATATTTATATATGCAAATGGAAATATATATATGCCTACAAGCATAAACATATGTGTGTGTGTATGAATGTGTGCAAATTGTGTGCTCAGCAGCAAGGAGTCTATCAGTTTTTTTCAATGCTACCAATATTGACATTTTTATCATTCTTATTGATATTATGAGTATTAAATTATTGTTAAGATATTAATAACATCAAAGACAATAAAATAATAGAAGTGAATCATTCAAAAAAATGAAGGAAAAGGGTAAACAGATGAGATAGGTAAGACTGATAGCTGACTCCTTGGTGATTAAGCACTTGTAGAGCCAGCTATGTGTAAAGACAATAGATAATTTTTTTTTATTGCTGTGGGCATGGCATTGTAGTCTTGCCACCCGCGCTCATTGGGTTAAAGACAAATCTATTTTTAAAAATGAATAAACCTCTGCTTTCTCTGCCAGTCGCTTGCAGAAGGAGATCGCAGGCCTCACCCAGAGCTACAAGAGCCTGCGGGAGGAGCTCGAGAAGTGCCAAATATCGAAGGATAACTTTAAGAAGAAGGCGCAGGAATATTGCAGGACGCTGGAAGAGCTGACGCATATCCTGTCCTCGAAGGTAAGTTTTTTTTTGGGGGGGAGGTAATACTGGTTCGTAGGTAATGGGGTTTGGTATTTAGTTGGTGGGGTTGTCGACGAATAGGTTATTTTAATATTGCAAGGAATAAGTGTGGTATTTGGAATAATAATAGATGGAGGTAGTTGATTGAATAATTATTTTAATATTGCAAAGAATACGTGTGGGATATGGAATAGGGAGCGATGAAGGTATTTGATTTTGTGTGTGTGCGTGCGTGTGCGTGCGTGCGTGCGTGCGTGCGTGCGTGCGTGCGTGCGTGCGTGCGTGCGTGCGTGCGTGCGTGCGTGCGTGCGTGCGTGTGTGTGTGTGTGTGTGTGTGTGTGTGTGTGTGTGTGTGTGTGTGTGTGTGTGTGTGTGTGTGAAGTTTTGCTGAAGTGACCCCTAACGAAACTTATGGTAAAATTTTCTTCATGCTCTCCATACGTTGAAGTTCTCGTTTTCTGTGGTTGAAGAAGCCACACATGCCACACTCATTTATTTTAGTTTGGGGGACGAGTTATTCACAAATATGTATATTATGGCATATGTATGGTATTTATATATTTTTTTGTTTGAAAGTGAGCGAAGGTGTAGATAATTTACTCTTATTATTATTATGCTGTTTGTTACATATATAGATTACTCTGTATATGACTGTTGAATAAAAGAATATATATTTTTTAATACAATATCCTTTCCTCATTTTTTTCTTCTACTTCAAGGACTCAGAACAGTCCAGCCTCAAGAAGCAGTACCTCAACCTCAACGAAGCGGTCTCGTCCCTCAAGTCCCTGAACCAGTCCCTCGAGGAGAGCATCAACTCGCGCGAGAAGGAGATGACGAAGATGGAGGCGATGATGGCCAAGTTCAAGGAGGAGAGGGAGGATATAATTAGTCAGGTAGGGTGTTTTAAGGGGGGGGGGCGGGGAGATTGATTGATTATTATTTTCCTGGGGGTTTGCTTTGTGTTGGAAATAGAGTTAGTTATTAAGTGGTTAGTTATTAAATGGTTAGTTATTAAATAGTTAGTTATTAAATAGTTAGTTATTGTATGGTTAGTTATTAAATAGTTAGTTATTAAATAGTTATTAAATAGTTAGTTATCAAATGGTTAGTTATTAAATAGTTAGTTATTAAATCGTTAGTTATTGTATGGTTAGTTATTAAATAATTAGTTATTAAATAGTTAGTTATTGTATGGTTAGTTATTAAATAGTTAGTTATTAAATGGTTAGTTATCAAATGGTTAGTTATTAAATGGTTAGTTATTAAATAGTTAGTTATTTATGGGTACTGGTAGATTCTTTTTTTTTTAAGTAGTTAGTTTGGTATTGAAAAAGAAAAAGAAATATTATTTAGGTAATATATATTACTGTAGTTGTCTTATTAGGTGTAGTTACTGTGTATTTCTTTTTATTTATATGTACAATACAGGGAGATTGATTTTTTTTTTTTCTGGGGGTTTGCCTTGTGTTGGGAATAGAGGAGAGGGTTTGTTAGTTATGGGTACTGTTAGATTTTTTTTTTAAGTAGTTAGTTTGGTATTGAAAAAGAAAAAAAATATATTATTCAGGTAATGTATATTATTGTAGTTGTCTTATTAGGTGTAGTTACTGTGTATCTTTTTTATTTATATGTATAATATGTGGTGATATATCCTGTTATGAGATGGGATTTTATTGACATTTGATTTAGTATATATAAGTCATGGTCTTTAGCAAAACAATGAGAGGCATTTTTATCAATTCAAATACATTCATATGAGAATTTTTTAACCTTATATTAAAATATCTATCTATGCAGCAGGACTGGAATTTTGTCATGTACATGGCATTTATTAATATGTTAATACACCAGTTTTATTACTTCAGAGAACAGAAAGGATGAAAAGTGTGTTTGCAGAGAATTTATGAGGATGGTTGGGAAGGTTGGGTGAAAATATATTATCAACAAGAAATACATAAACAAGCACACAAACTATCAGAAACAAACAAACAAAGACATGACCTGTTTTTATTCCTCCCTCAGATGATGGAGGCAAGCCAGAAGTGCGACCAACTCGAAGAAGCCTGTAAGAAACTTGAAGAGGAAAAATACAACATCGAGAAGGACCTCATCAACACGCGGGACCTGGCGCAGAAACTGGACATGAAGCGAGGCCAGGCTGATGGGGAGGTGGCTAGACTCTCCACTAGTCTGGAGAAGGTGAGGCATAGCTGGGTCCTATATTATCTCCTTTAGGTTAATGTTGTAGGGTATAATTGAGGATATTATATGCCAAGGATGAATTTTGAGTTTCTTTTGCTGTTAGATCCTCATTTTAAGCTTGAAAAAAATACACTTATTAGTAAACTTATTTTATCAAAAAGTAGTATAAAAATTGGTCACCAACATCAGCACTTTTAGTTATATAAAGTAAAATTACCTTTTATATCTTATCTCGAAGTAACCAGCATAAACCATACCTCACAGGTGATGTCACAGAAGCGTTCCTTGGAGCAGAGACTAGAGGCCATTAGCAGCCAGTTGAACAGTGAACGGACCACAGTGAGGTCGATGGAAGAAGTCCTTAATGATAAGCGCAGATCCGAGTGGTCTCTTGAGGCCAATAACAAGCAACTGGAGGTGGAAAAAGGCCAGCTACAGAGAAGGGTAAGGGTCGAGTCCTTTTAGTATGGGGAGGGTAAAGGGGGAAGTTCTTTTAACCCAATCACCACAGATTTATGTTCTGAAATGTTTTGAAATGTATAATCTTCTCATGAATTAATTTAAATATCCAGCTATCTTTCAGGATTTGTTTAATGGTGGATGCTCATTGTTACATATTTCAGCTGAAAAAAAAAGGAAAAAAAAAGGAGGCACTGTTGAAAGGTTTATGTACTATACAAAAACATTTTCATTTCTCTTTCTGTTTCTCCCAAACTGTCAAATATCATGTCAAAACTGAATGCACGATCTGTATTGAATATCTTTTTCATTTTATATTATTTTAGTGTTTTAAATGTGCCACAGCTGCTTTAAGGTAAAGTATATAGGTATTTTACTATAGAATTTTTTATATTTTACTGCTGATACTCAAGAATGCCAATATATCAAACTTTTTAACCCAATGGTGCCGGGGAGAATGAACAAAAAATGGGGAAAATATTGTGCCCACTTTTTTTGCCCATGTTTTTCGTGAAATGTCTGCCGATAGATGGCTCTGCTAGCGCCTGATTTGAAATGGCGGGAAAAACGTATTTTTCACTAGTGCTATGAAAATCGATGGTGATATCTTTATCATGAACATTATAATTTTTATATATATTTTTTAACATTAGTAACAGCAAAATAAGATTACGTAAGATATTTTGTAAATCAAAGAAACGGGTAAACGGGCGAGACTTGCGGTGCTCGTAACTGGCTCATTGGGGAGTTAGTACAAGTGTTGCCATCTATGCGTAAAAACAATCAAACAAGTACTCACGGTGGGCTTAAGTAGATCAGATAAGTACCTATTAAAACACCATTCAGTATTTTATTATGATATGTATTAAAGTTTTAATATTTAATTGTCCAGATATCAGAACTGCAAGCTCAACTGGAGGATGAAATGTCAGAGGGGAAGAGATTTAGAATGAGAACCACGCAGCTGGAAAGTGACCTGGAGAGACTTAGACGGGACCTGACGGATGAAAGGTTTGAGAGAGAAAAGGCTTCACAGGAACTGCGACGGGTACAGAGATTCCAAAACATTAACCGTGCATTAGATGCCCTTGGAACAACACCTTCCCCCCCTGGGACTAAAGAGGGCTCACGACCCCCAGTCAAGGTGTTGCCTCCTGACCCCCACCCTACTCCAGTCTCCTCATCATTACCCAGTAGAGCCGACTCCCCACCGGCAGCAGAATCACAAGGGGCGGCCCACTTAGAGCGGCGCCGTAGTTTTAGTAAAGCACATGCATCTCACCTCCACAGTTCCTCCTCAGACACAGGACTTGAGAGGAGCCAGGCTGTCTCCAGCAGCTCCGACTCCCACAAGGAGCCCTGGAGACTGGCATTCGGGAGCACCTCCCAGCTGTCCCGGCGAGCAACTAGCCAGGAGTCCATCCACCCATCTCCCATCACGTACAGACGGGCAACGGAGGACAGCCCCCTCACTAGAGTAGGATCTACAGGGAGGCTAGCGACCTCCTCAATCTCCTCACAAGCAGGAGCAACCCTCACAAGCTCACGTGACAGAGATCTGGATAGTAGAGAAAGCATTCCGAGTGTGAGACCCAAAGACCCCAGCACAAGGTTGAGCAAGCAGGCCACTAGTGGTGGAGAGTCAGATAGCTGGGGCTGATGGGAAAAGTAATATGTGCTTCTTGGTAGTTTTTTAAAATTTTGTTTTATTTGTATGTTTCTTTTTTAATCATCACCTGCATACCTTATTTTGTAGTATAAGGTGGAGCTTTTGCACAAGTATGATTAGTTGAGAGCCAAATTTGTAAAGATAAACCAAGTGGGATTATACTCCTATATTTGTAGCAGTTGTCAACACCAGTAGCTTTATAGAAGAGCTGACTTCCATTATAACTTAAGTATATTACCTGATTTTATTTATTTTTTTAATATTTCAGGTTAAGAACAGAACTGTGATAAGATAAATTTTATTTGTAAATCCAATTTCTGATGTCAGATTTATTCACCCTCACAAGAAACTCCCACTTAAATTCTGCCTTAAGTTTTGTAAGGCCATAATTTTATAGGGTATTATTTAAAAAATTGAAAAAGATAAAATAAGCAAAGCATATGAATAGCAGGCAAAAGAAAGTAACAGAAAAGACAAGTTAAATACAAACATCTTTCACATTTATTGTTGTTAGTTTTTCTGTGCTTTTCCAAATCTCGTCTGCTTAGTTTACAACCCTCTAGATACCTTGAAATATCTTGCAACACCAGTAATCTCAAGTTTAACCCCATTAGACCTTTTGTGTCTTAGGAACCTAAACCTCCTTTCAAAACCTTTCTGTTATTGTATTTTTGACAAAACTATAAAATATTGAAGGGGCAATCTCTAGGTATGTATTATGGACAATGGAAAGGATTAATAAAAATTCAAGGTCTTCAGAAATGCTCTCTATCATTAGCTTGCATGGGTGTTTTATTATCTCATTTTACAGAATAGTAGTAAAATATATAGGGAAATGAGTCCTGTACTTGATGTTTATTCCCACTGTTGGAAAGGAATCTCATTTGGGCATTCTCATGAGTTGAGATTAAATCTTTTCAGTTTTCCTTTTCAAGTTGTCATTGATGTTTTCACTAATTAAATATAATGGTATGAAAACAGCATGCAAATAAAGGTTTGTATGGCATTAATTAGATGTGTGTTGTACCTATAAGATTTTGGTGATTTCAGGTTATGCTATCTTGTACTCTGCAAACAGCAAAACACACTTAAAGATTAAGGAAGTACACTAAGTTAGACATACATTATAAACATGTTTTAACAGCCAATTTCTCGTTTCTTTCTAGGTGCGCACATTTCTCATTTAAGGTAATGGCAACTGTTAAGGTGCAGGGAAATGTTGGCACCCCAATCATCTTCAGATTAGGAATAGCATCACTCAACTATTGTAATGTTAAATATTTGTTTGTATATGGAGAGCTTTATATTCCATAATAATACGGAAAGATATTTGTAAGGAAAGAGAAATGTTTTGTTAGGATATATAGGTGAATGATATTGGGTATTTAAACAGGGTAATCTATGGGAGTCGAAGTCAGACTTTGCAGCATAAGACATTTTAGATAGGACTGGTGTCCTTGCTACCAGATATTTTTTCCTTTTTTTTTTAACACAAGTGACCAATACACTCATGTTATTATCAGATAGGAAGATGTGTTGATTACCAGGCAAAGTATGGTTAAATGGATATATTTTTGACAAGGTAAAAAATGACAGAAGAGAAACCATTTCAGAGCATATGTATTCTATATTTTCACTGTAAACCTTCCTCTGTTATGTGGATGAAGACTTACTGGCAAAATGTCTAATATATTTTCTCTGTAAGAATGTTCTCATTTTATCTGGATTGTGAGAATGAGGTTTAAACGAGTACTGAATATCACAAGGGAAAGACAAATGGAAAGTATTCAGTAAGTTTTGGAATTAGTTTAGCATTAGATTTTGCAGAAAAGAAAAGCTTCAATAGTGAGATGTTAGAAGGAACACATTCAGAGAAATATATTAAAAAGAAATTGTTGTAGATTCCAATTATATTTTTCACAGAAAGATTTTGCTTTTACGTTCTTATGCTATTTTCTTTCTTTCAAACTTTCTTCATTTTGTTGGTTGCTCGTTTGACTTCAAGAAATTAGTTGTGTATTGGAGAATCACCAATAATCCTTTCTATGAAGAGTTTTATGGGCTGTGAGATGCTAGAGTCACTGATGCTGTTTAGCACTTGACTGTATGGATTAACCTGCTTCTTAGTATATGTATATAAGAAAACATCCTTTAAATTGCTAATTACCAGGTTGATATACACTTCTGTAATCACAGTCTTCTGTGTCAGTCTATCTTGGTTATAGAGGAATATAATCAAATCATAGTCTGAAGGTCACAGTTGTTCCATGCTTGTTACTTTTGTCATAGTTAGGAGTTTACTTTGAAACTTTATTTTCCTTGTATGGTACAACTTGCCATGGATTAATTATATTAAAACAGTATGAGGAGCAATGGTTGATCGCCTGGGTTGTAAATACGTTCATATATTCTTGTTTTCAAAATTCAGATCAGGAAGTGGTCCTTGTTGAATTTCACTTACCATGCTGTATGTATTATTTTATTTCATTATAATTTTTTTTTTTTCTTTCCCCAAATGATTTGAGCATTTCCAACCACAGTGAGTATAAAATAGCTACATTTATGTGCAGTCATCCATAAACACACACACACATATATGTATAAAATGTATATGGGGACAAAAAACAGTAGATACTGATTAAATATTGGCTTTCAAGAATGTACTATCCCATCCTCAGACATCCTAATGGCTTTCCTTAAGGTGGTATCTCTCTCATTTCTTTCAGTTCAGTTTATGCTCTTTAACATTAACTTATGCGAAGCTCTTTTAGCTTCATGTAAAAAAAAAAAAAAAAAAAAAACTGAATAACAGTCCTTCAACCCAATCATCATGGATGGCAAGAATACATGTCATACCCACTGTAATATAAGTTTATTTATTGTATTTACACATAGATGGCTCTACAAGTGCTTAATCACCAAGGAATTAGGGTCTTTTGTATTATTTCATTGTCCTAAATGTTACTACGCCTTTAATAACAAATAAGCATAACACCAATAACAATAATAACAGTATTGATATCAATTGTAAAAAAAAGAAAAACACATTTTCCCACTGATTCAAGGAATGGGGAAATCAGGATTGGTCACTAGGGCCTACTGATAGACTCCTTGCTAGTTGAGCACATGTGGAGCCATCTGTATGTAACAAAATTCACAAGAAACTACAGGGAACAGAACAATACGTGGTGGGTTAAGATGGTATTTTCTAAAATCATACTAATACATGCTTTATATAACAAAATGAATGCTGATTGTCACTGTCATGGGATGTATAGTCATTGGGTACATTTATTATTGCGAACTATCTGTATAATATATCAAAAGTTACAGAAGATATATATAAAAAGGCAATAAGTCTGTCTAAATGATTTATAATAATATATATATAATGGTCATTTTTTACATACAGATTTAATCACAAGGGCCATGCCTTGATTAAGAAAAAAGAAAAAGAAAAAAAATCAACTATCATGTGATCAGGATGGGTTGTTGGTTTTAGGTCCTGTTATATAAATATTCCCCTCCATGAAACAAACATTTTTATTCGTACATCATTGTTTGCAGCACAGTAGTATATTACTGACAGTTTAATTCAATTATTTATGTGTTTTATTTCAGTCATGAGTCATAGATTACAAAAGACATTAGGTTGTAATAATGTGATAAAGAAATGAAAAAAAAGAGACAAAGGCAGTTTTATTGGTTTAAGCATTTTTTTGTTCAGATGTAATTTTGGGTTGCCATATATACATGTTTGCTTGCTAGCAGAAGTCAGCAAATATAATGGTCACTTGCTAACAGTACTGAATGTTAAAAATAACAGACATATTTATTTACAGAGTGAGGACTAAGGACAACATAATAGTTTCAAAACTTAGTCTTTTGTGAATTTAGGCTCTTGCATCGATTTTCAGTATTGAAATGTTTATTGCTACTTCTTACATTTATTACAACAAAAGTGCACTACCATCATTGCAACCACAATTTAATTACTTGATAGTGGACATTAGTTATTTACTTTTTTCAAAGTTATATTACCCTTGTGTTTCTTGCAATTACAGTGATCTCTATTTGCTGGCTTTATTTTATTTAAATAAAGTATAGAAATAGTCCATGGGTCCTTAGATATATGAATCAGTCGGTTAACTTTGATGAAATTCTAAAAGAAAGATAGCAATTTCAAGTAATTGTAGTAATTTTGTTAGTTTTATGCATTATTTGTCTTTAATTTTTCAGCATATGTAATGTGCCACCTATAAGCATCATTTAGTGTGTCTTATCCACAGTTTAAAAAATTCACATCATCTAAAACATTTTGCTTCAATCAAATCTTTAGATTTTCTTTTAAATCATCTGAAAGTATTAAAATAACATAGTGTTTCTGTGGGATTTAACTTTTGAAGACAGCTATTCATGACAAATCATGAGAACAATGTACTAATTTTTATTATATATTCAGTATTTTGTAACTTTATCGTCCATGACAGTAGTGAGAATACACATTTTGCAATGACTTGGGAGAAACCTATTATAAAATGCCACCTTGTGATTCATTACAGGACATTCACATGATCAAGCAAAAAGTTGTATTCAGAACCTTAACAATGAACACCATCTATCTTGGAGAGAAATGAGCATACAAAGAAGTCTGAAGGGGTGAAGCTCATATGACTATATATATTACTGGTATTTTGTGCCCAAGTTATCATATGGACAGCTAATTTTGGATTTCATAAAGGTGCAGAAGTAAAGTTTTTCTTGTATCTATTTTTATAAGCAATATAACTATCTATTGTGTTTTTATATGGTGTTTCATTATCCCCTCTTGCTTGTCAAGAATTAAAAAATGAGAATGTGTGAGAGGAGACAGTGGCTGATTTTTCTTTACAAAATGTGAAGTGGGAAATAAATGTATTTATTATATGCTGACAGAGCATTAAAATATAGGATACAAACAAATAAACAAATGGTTTATTATACTGTATACCTGTTTGTGTGTACCGGAATACATACATGTGGGTATCAGTGAATGGTTATTAAAACTATCTTGTCAACAGCTAATGTACACACGTTTAACATGATAGAAAGATAACCTTTAGTCTGCTTCATTCTTTTCATATTTTTTTATGTCCATTAACAATAAATAACGCATATTATACATCTACAATGCATGCTTTATGAACTTTTCAGTTCAAACTCGTTTCAAAATATTTTCCCTAAAGAAACTAAGAAGAATGTCCACACAACAGTATGTAAGTGAGACAGGTGTACCTGAGTTCTTGCAAAGTCAGAGAGTTCTGCATTCTACTTATGCTATCGTTAATGGCTCTTAGTATCACACATACACAGGGGCATCACCTCTAGCCATTAACCACCCATGAGTCCATATTGTGCGCCCGATTACCAACCATGTTAACAAGCCTGTGTGTCAGCTGGAATGGACGCTGGTCTCCTAACTACCAAGGTCATCTCAAATCTCTCGTAGTGTATTGCTAAAAGGTAGACCTCCATTGCACCCTTCATTTGTCACGATGACATCTGTTGCTGTTCCGTGTCAGTGTGGGAGAAGGGAACGGCAGCTCGTTGCATCCCACGGACATTAACATGCACAGGCACCCAACCCAACACAGACTTTCCTTCTTACGTGCTAGCGTCACTGCAGGGGTCTAGAACCTCTCTCACCACTAGGTGCGGTGCGTGTAGATTACTGATGGTTTGCAGTGTACTGTGTGGCTTGACTTCTGATACCCTTAGTCATCCTGATTGCTGCGAGAATGGATATGTCTACAGTGAATATCGAGGATGATGGAGGAAGGCTGCCAAGTATGGAGGTCTTTCTGCCTGCTTCATCTTAGGATTTCAAATCATATATGCTTTTGACTTTTTACACACACACACACGCATACGCACACGCGCGAGTTATGCACACGTTACACATTACACATACACATATACACGCGCACGCGCACCCGCACGCGCGCGTTTACTTGTACGTATCGGTTATCTTATACGCATGTTTTGCCGCAGATTTCCCCGAAGGTAAACCACTGCGTGTCATTTCTTTTGATTTTCCAGTTGGTAGAGGTATCGGAGTATGTTTTTTTCGTCGAATTGTTTCCTCTCGAATTACTTCATTTTAATAGATATAAAAAAAATCGATTTTTTTGTTCGATTTTGTTACTGCCTTCTTGTTTTTATGCGCTTAATGATATGAGCATACTGTTGCTGCTTCTTATCGGTCATTGTTATGCAGTGGCCTATGATTTCCCCATCTGCTCGGACATCTTCATTTGTGTCAACTTGTCCATGGATGGTTTGCCAGTGATGAAATTCTCTGTTTGATGAGTAATAATGTTCAGTGGTTTATTGATCACTGTTTGCGAACTGATTCACTGAATAATTGATTTTTCACGAATGACTGACTGATAATTTATAGACTGATTGAGGATTGACTAAGTGATGAGCTGACTGATGATTGACTGACTGACTGACTGGCTCATTGATAACTGATTGACTAACTGAAAGGATATATATGTCGAGAGTCTGGAAAATCTGTGTGACGTGAAGACATGACAGTGCCAGAAGGGTACCTGTCTGGATCTAAGGTAGTCACAGGTGGTAGACAGGTGGTTAAGGAAGCGTGTTTTGGTCGGTGTTCGTGGGGGGTGGGGAGGGGGGGGGGTGATATACCATGCAACTTAAAGATTGACGCGACATGGCGAGGGTGTGGTCTGGAGGGGGGTGGGGGGGTGCGCCCACAACGCATAGAAACCTTTCGAAAATCTAGAAAATAGATTACATCTAAGTTTGATTCATTTGTAGTGTTTAGATATCGTTTTAAATTCTATGAAATAATAATACCAGGGAGAAAATGTCATGTTTGCTATGACGGGAATAAGATATGTATAATTAGAAATGTATATTATATATAGTATGTAAAATATTTGTGAGCGCATGCTTGTGTATGCATATGGGGAGAAGGATATAAAAAATAAGGCGCATATATATATATCACCCAAACTTAATTTTGCAACATAAAGTGGAACTGAAGAATAAAAAAAATATATGATAATACCATCAGCTACGGCCATAAATGTATGCATAAGAACGCAAACACGAATCACACCAAACAGGGCAGCTCCTATGCACTTTACGGTCACCCCCAAATCTCGGGACAAAGGACACGCCATGCAGAAAAACCTAAAGGGAACTGCCAATCAAAAAGTCTTAAAAAATAAACTAAGCGCTTTGGGGGAGCATCGTATCAGCGTATCTGCCTTTTATCTCATTTACATATACACGTAGCAGTACAATGAGTTCCCAGCCATGTTGCTAACTCGCCATACACACGCCTGCCATTTGCCTTCTTGTCTGCCCGCCGATCGCCAGCGCTGTCACTTTAAACTGAGGAACAAGCGGTTGATAACATACGCTGGTAAAGGGGCTGCATGGCGTGGCGAAATTTCTTGATTCTTTTTTTTGTTTGCCTCTTTACTTCTATTGCCAGCTGAAATTTATCGATATCGCCGCCACGTTACAGTAATATATGTAATTATCTTTCAATTTCGTATGCACTTACGGCGTGGCAAATTTCCAGGTTTGCGATTAAAAAAAAACAACTACTTTCCACTGCCTGCTAAAATTATTGCTAGTGCAGCCTTGTAACAGTAAAAGATCTAATCCTCAATCAGTTTCGTACATAAATCTAGCGTGGCGAAATTTCTTTGCATTATCATATTTTTTTTATTTATTTTATTACCACCTGAAATTTTAGCTATCGCGGCCAGGTAACCGTAAAATGTATCTAGTTACCACAAATTCGACAATATCATGCTCCATAAAAGAAATTCCATTCTCTCTAAAGATATTCACGCAATTTTGAATCCTCTAGACAGAATATACATACGATAAGAACTACTTCATTGTTCAGTTGTCTTGCAAGATCAGTTGCATAGGAGATGCAAGAAACAAGGGGGGAGGGGAGGGGAGGGGGGAGTAGATAGGGCGGGAGAGCGGCAAAACGCCATCTGTCTGCAAAGCCCAAAGCTCCTCTGTATTGACGTAGATTCTACATGATATAATCTTTGGCCCGTGAGTTCATCTGTCAAAAATACGGCTGGAGAGATAAATACCATCGCGGGGATTTATGTAAATGGCGGAAAATATCAACAGGTGGATGTGTCAATTTTTGAATTAATGATTTTGAGACGAAGAACTGCAAATAGAGGCTTTAAATCAGCGATAATTCAAGCGTTATTGTTGTCCTGTGTTATTCTTATGTATAATGACGTAAGGGTTTATGACACAGAATAAATAATACATGCGCATAAAATAACAGCGAATGTAACAAGTGACAGTTAACACGCTGTTTTGACGCTCGCTCCTCCGTCGTGCGTGGAGAGAGCTCCTAAAATCCCTCGGAAACCACAGCCGAATCTGCTACCGAAATCCGCATTGTAATCCGGCTTATGATGCTCACATACATCTCTGACCTTTGCGTTTCGCGACCTCTGACCTTTCCACCTCTCTCGTCTTCCTCAAAGCATTATGGCAAACATATACACACCAGGAAGGGCGGTTTCGGTCTCTCTACCGGTTCCCATCTCCCAGCTGCGAGCGAGTACCGGCATCGGCTGCTGGGGTCAAGGTTAATATAAAAGGAAAGAAAATTGCTGGAGTCAAGGTAAAATAAATAAATAAATAAATAAAAACATAACAAAATAAACAACACAAAAAAGAAAGAAAGAAAAAAAGAAAGTAGTCAGGGAGGAAAGTAACTGATCACCTTAACACGGTATAATCATCATGCAACTCCAGCGCACATGCCCCTATGCCCACTTGGCTACGAAACCAACCTTTTGATATACGGTCCTTAAGCTCGGGAAATTTGTCCTCCTAAATACAGACGCGTTTCATAACATGTAGCCAGCCTCCTGTACCACCCTTCCATCCTTGTTTTTATTCATGCTTTGACTGCCCTCATCACCCCCTCCTCCCTCTCCCCCTCCTCCCCTCTCCCTCTCCCCCTCCCCCTCCCTTCCCACACCGTCTTCCTCGCCCACCCTCTTTGTCTTAACGTAATCAGGAAGTGTCTCAATATTTTCCCGCTTTTTCACTGCAGTAATGGAACCACTTCCTTCCAAGGAGTATCCCTCTCCTCGTCACCCCCCTCCCCCTCTCCCCGTCAACCCCTCCCCCTCCATCTCTCTCCGTCACCCCTTCTCCTCTCTCCATCCTTCCCCTTCCCCCTCCCTCTCTCCCTGTCAACCCCTCCCCCTCTCTCTCCCACTCCATCCTTTCCCCTCCCCCTCTCTCTCTATCCTTCCCCTTCCCCTTCCCCCTCCCCCTCTCTCTCTATCCTACCCCTTCCCCCTCCCTCTCTCCCGGTCAACCCCTCCCCCTCTCTCTCCCTCTCCATCCTTTCCCCTCCCCCTCTCTCTCCCTCCCCTTCTCTCTCTATCCTTCCCCTTCCCCTTCCCCCTCCCCCTCTCTCTCTATCCTACCCCTTCCCCCCCTCTCTCCATCCTTCCCCTTCCCCCTCTTGTTTTGCCACAAGAAGAAGCTCCTTAACACGACACTGGTCTAAATGCTGTCATAATTTTTTTCTCGGTCATTGTCGTTATTGTGTATCATAGGAGCTCGACGGGTAAACTTTTTAAAATTTATTTTTTATCATTATTTGTTTTTATTATCATCCTCACTATTTGTTAGTATTATTATTATTATTACTATTATTATTAATGTTATTATTATTATTATTAATGTTATTATTATTATTATTAATGTTATTATTATTATTATTA